CCCTTGGGTCACACATTTGAGCTGCATAAGCATAGACAGCTCGAGCACGATCAACTTCGCCTAACTTTCTCTCCAGGTCGGCAAAGCGAATACACATCTGGCGAGCATGCTTTTCGGGAAGTCGTTCAATGGCCTGTTCGTAGGCAGCTCTTGTGTGAGTCACACCGTGCAAGTCGGCAATGCGTTGAATGTAGATATTGAACATCTATAACAGAAGACAAGTAACCAGTCAAATAGGTGGAGCGGTAATGAGAAAATGAGATGGCAGTTTTTCACAAAACAGGCCAACACGTACGTCTGCCACCTTGAAGGTGTTACTTACACGCACACACAGCGAATAAGCAACAAAGGATTAATAAAAACCATCAAAAGGGGGGGGGGGGAATTAAATGCGAGCTTCTTGATTCCACGAGCTCCTTATCCATTACGAGAAATTACTTTCATCAGAATAAACCTGAAATCTGCTATATTTATAACCAATGAAAACGACATTTGTATTTAATTAAATTAGTAATCGAAGATTTCGAACATAAGAGTAGGCCAGAATAAGGCGAGGTTAGAAACACGGCCTCGTCTTCGAAGTTGAATCTTAACCAACTTCCTTTCACACAAACACATTTGTTTGCTTTTAAAGATGAAAAAAGTACTGTTCAAAAAGGGCCTTACCGCAAATCTTTCCTCAGGTTCAACAGCTTCGGTTGCACGCTCGTAAATCTTGATCGCTCGCCTCGCCAGACCATGCTCCTCTTCCAATTTTGCATAGAGAAGATAGAGTTCTTAAGGAGAAAACATTCATTTACTCGAATTAGCAAGTAACCCCAAAATATGGTCCTTTCAGTCATATACACCAACAAATTCATACATGAGATTGAGAACTTACAATATATTTCATCAAGATTCCAAAAAAGTAGTTTTTTTTCTAACAATGCATTTAGAACCGTTTTAAATGCCTACAGATTGAACTTATTCTATCTTGCTATTTTTCTCGGTGAGAGCAAACGCAACCAAATAAGTATATGCCAAAAAAAGAGATTCCAACCCATCTTCCATATATCATAAGACATTTTACTTCACCTACTTTAAGAATTATTGCAAAAATTAAACGAGTTCAAAACATGATTACACCTGGATAACACTGGAATCATTTCAGGAATCGTAGTGAACACATGCGACTCTTATCAGATTAAACACTATTCATGAGAATAGAGACATAAGTAAAATAAAAATTAAGTGCAGTAAGACCACTAATAATGAACCCTTGAGTATATATATTATTTCAAAAAACTTACGTTTAGCGTATTTGGATGGACATTTCTCAAGACACTGTTCAAAAAGATCCCTTGTACGTTCCAATTTGCTTCCACCCTGAAAACAAACGAATTTCCATTAGTTTGAATGAATATTTTCATGATGCTACCGTGTAGAAGTAGGCATACATAACGCTCCATAAAGTTCGTGAGATAGGTTGCCCAGATATCAAATACATTTGGCCATCTGAAGATAGCAACTCCCTTTTCGTAGGCCTGAAAAATAAAGCAATTTCAATAGAGCACGGAAAACATACAAAAGCAGTTGGGAAAACTGCAAGAAATTCACCTTGAAAGCGTCCTCAAAGTAGTTGTGTTCTTCCAGGAAGAGACCATAGTTCATGATGATCTGTGGAGTGGCAATTCTGTAGTCGATCATACGATCGTAAGCAGCCTTGAAAGGAGAAGAGTGAAATAATATGAACTAGATATCAAAGAAAAGTGTACAGCCTTGCATGGGACTGATAACCAAAATGAATAACGCAGTATTAGGCAAGGAAGCTCACTGAGCCGGAATAATCAAACCCAAATCACAAGTAACATTTCTGGCATTTTAAAGAAAGACAAAACGCAGAAATGCTGACGGACAGACTTAAGAGAAGAGACTTGAAATGCAGAAGTGGAACATGTGAAATTCAGTAGATTGGAGATTCGTAGGGATATATCTAAACATTAAGGTGTGATGAATAACAATGTCTGAAAAATGGCATCGTATGGTAGACAAAATGTCCGAAATAAACAGGGGAAACTTCGTATTTGCTGCTATATAAACAGTAAAAGACTAAAATATCCCATCAAATACTCAGGTTCTAACGCATCAAGACTTGGAATACTGATGCGAGTTGGATAAAGTAAATTCAAATAAGGACCTGAACTTCTAACTATTACAATTTTCCTATCTGATATCGTTCCAAGAGCTTTGTTCATACGATTATGACATTCGAACAAGTATTAAAAATAATAAAATCTGGGGAAGCGATGAACGCGTCAGAATGCTCGGAGGGTAATCGTTGAATGCTAGCATCCAAAAATTAGATACATCAGTGATGTAATCTATTATTATTAGCAAAAATAGACACATAAGCTTTTGTATCAAAATTAAAATGAACAATCAGTAATATAAGCGGAGCAAAATATACCTTGGTGGTCTGGAAAGTACCAAAGCTCTCCTCCAAATCTGTATAAAGAGTCCAAAGTCTAAGGGACTTATGAAGACGATTCTGCACAGGCTCTGTACGGTCATAATAATCCACTTTGTGGGAAGCTGCTGGAGTAACAGCCTTCGCAAGCAATGTAAGTGCTGCTTCGACCTCACTAAAACAGAAGAATACATACATACATACATGCATACATATAATACCGTAGTAGTAAAATAGAAAGAGAATAATAAAAGCTCTAAAACCACAAAAATGGTCTCAATTAACTAAATATCGTTGTAGTGAAGAGGTAATTACCAAGAAATGGAGTCACCGAAAAAAAACAAACATTGGCTTTTTCCGCTAACCAATTTGATAGCGATAAGTATAAATTTCTCTCATCAAATTGTATTTCGTGGCATATCAACATGCAACAAGTGAACAAATTAAAAAAAACTCACCCATGACGGATCTCCATCTCAGCCCATTCACACCAAATTGAGGCCAAATCTTCCACGTGGATAAATGCAACTCCAGTCGCTTTCTTGAGCACCATTCTTGCATCATCCATTTGGTTGTGTTTCTCATAAAGTCGAGCCAACTCAATCCATAGGGTCGATGGCCGACCAGCAGTGGCTTTTGCCGGATCAAGTGAACTAATTCCCTCCATAAAAGCTTCAATCTGCTTCCGGGGACCTTGAGATTCTAGCAATTGTACGCGTTGAAGCCAATCGCTGACATTGTGAGGATTTTGTCGAAGGAGAACACTGTTTAAAAGGAGAGGACGTTGTTCCATCAAAGATTCCAAGCGGGCTAGACCTAATTCGACTTCCATTTCATCTGAAATCCAACGTAAATAGATTGGTTAGAGTCGATAGAAAGTTAAAAATCACGCTCCATAATCTAGAGCACTGGAAAAAAGCCTAGATGAAGACCGAAATTTATGAGGATTTGATGACCAAGACATTGTAGATGAAAACGACTATGAGAGAGGGCTATGTGTATGTTTAAAGCAAGTGTTCAAGAGAAATCAACACAGGAAGCTACCGATCATTCTCTGAGATATGTAAATGAACCGGTAAAAACATCATTTAAAAATTCAATTCAATGAAAAGGATGTGATGAACAACAAGAAGGTGAACTTCTGAATAGCCGTCAATAAACTCTAAGTTCTAGTAAAAAAAGAATTTCTAAAGTTAACGAGTCCATTACGTGATGAAATTAATGAAGCAACATAAAAGATTTTATTTAAACTATCTATCATTTAACAGAAATTTATCATGGATTATTACAACGTACGCGAATCACGTAATAAGAGATTATCAAGGAAAGATTAACTCACCTGTCTCAGTAACATTGGACATGTTCGCTATAGCGTCCATCCTAGCCTTAGTAAGAGATTGCTCAAATTCTGCATAAGCATCAAACGTTTGACTAAAATCTCGGACAGTAATGACTGTCGAAATTGCCTCTGCGTAGACATCACGAGCCCGAGAAACGTTTCCAGCTCGAATGTAGAAATCGGCTAATGACGTCCAGAGAATTCCAACCTGATCTGTATAACGGCTGATACCCTGTCTGATAATGGCATCGGCATCAAGAGAGACAATTTGGGTTGGGTTTTTCACAAGCAGGTCGCACAGGACTTGCCACAACTGAAACTTTGACTTTCCTTCTCGACTGATAAAGTTCTCCTCATTAATTACCTTAGCCAGGAGGACTGAAGCTTCATTGACTTTTTCATGCCGAATGAGGAAGTTAATGTAGCGTTCAACATCATCTGGAGCATATTTGATATAACGTCGGTAGATCCTGGAGCACGTCTCATTGATTTCTGCTCCATTTTTATCAGCGAATTTGAGATAAAGACGCCACACCCGTTCATGCTGTGTAATCGGCAACGCTTTCAAGGCTCTGTCGAATGTTCGACGGGCTAGTGTAACATAACCTTGGAACATGAGAAACTGCAGATAGTCTGTCCAAATACGAGGCATCTAAAGCAATCGATCAGAAATAAAAAAGGCTCACCTTGTGCATCGTGACAAGAGCCCTTTCATGAGCGCTGTTAGTCTCCTCATATATCAAGGTACCTGGGCACATACGGCGGGCATGAAGACGACGCAATTTGAGATAATTATACCACAGTTTATAACTAAACAATAAGATGATAAAAATTTGTAAATACCTTCCGGGTAGCTGCTTCAGAGCTCTCTCGTATGTTAGATACAGGATTTGAGGAGAGCTTGACTTTTGGAACTGAACATATCTGAGCCAAGCTTTAACGCTGTAAGGATTTTTGAGCAAATTTTCCTCGAACGGTAAGTTTTCTTCGGCCTATAAATATGAATTAAAAGTTTAAATTGAATCAACAAAAAATTCAAACACCTACGATTGTAAAAAGGTCGGTCATCGCGAGATTGAAGATTTAAAATACGTTCGCGTTTCTTATGTCACTATAACGAATGTGACATTCACAATGCACAAATTTTGAAAATAAAGGAATACTAGCAATTAAACTATTAAATGAGATAAGTATTTACAAAAATATCATGAAATTCTTTATCTATTTATATTATTTTGCATTTTCACATGAACTCAAGGTTCATTTGAAAATTTGGGCTCTTTTTAAAACAAAGACAGGTATATATATATATATATATATATATATATATTATGGCCACGCGTGGGAATTAATTTTAGTTCCTACCAGCGTTTTCTTAAGTTTGCCAACGTTCAAGCTATCCTTTGATATTAACATGGATTTTGCTGATTTTACTTATCAGAAGTGGGATAAGCGTTAATGAGTTATCCAATTGGCTTTATAACTTGTAATTATCTTCATTTTACCAAAAGATGGAGATAAGATTGATTTCTGATTGAAGATGTGCCGTGTATGCTTATGCTTTTTTTAATTGAAAATTTTATTTATATCAAATGGCAGGCGTTTTGATAGTTATCATTAGCTGTTTAGTTGACTTCAGGCTTCACAGATGGGAAGGAACATCAAAGTGAAAAAGGTCGAGATGGGGGGGGGAGGGACAAAAGAGTGTTCCAAAGATGTTAAAGAGACAGATACAAAGTTGAAAAAAGGTGAGGTGAGTATGGTTGAAGTAGTCGAATTTGACATACAGTGGGGTGATGGTAGTTTGGAGTCTGAAGTCAACTGCCGGTTAATAGACTTTTTGCCGTATGAGTATACGTTGCCCAGAATGCACCACGCGGAGGTAAGTCTATCGCACACCCCTTTAATTGAAAATAAATAATTATGGTTAGGTTAGTGCTAAGGTTCGACTATTTAGTTGCCTCTGACCAAATGAATAGGATCAGGTTTTTAGCANTGCCGTGTATGCTTATGCTTTTTTTAATTGAAAATTTTATTTATATCAAATGGCAGGCGTTTTGATAGTTATCATTAGCTGTTTAGTTGACTTCAGGCTTCACAGATGGGAAGGAACATCAAAGTGAAAAAGGTCGAGATGGGGGGGGGAGGGACAAAAGAGTGTTCCAAAGATGTTAAAGAGACAGATACAAAGTTGAAAAAAGGTGAGGTGAGTATGGTTGAAGTAGTCGAATTT